TGGCATGGCAATGGAAATTGCGGGTTTGTTTGGAGAAGTTGATGGAACTTCGAGGCCAGAGAAGAAGTTAATGGATGGAACTTTAAGGCTGTAGAAGTGAATGCTGAACTCTGTGGAAGAGCAGAGCTCCCATAGTAAAGGGTGGACCTCAATCTGTGAAGGGGAGCAGTGAAGTGAAGTATCACGTGCTTCTGTGGGATCAGTGGTGGAGCATCACTGGTGTTCGAGGAAAACTTCATTGTGTAGCAGTCTGGGAGGACTGCAAGAGACCTTTGTTGACAATTCTGGGAGAACCTACAGTTATACATGGTAGTAAGCCTCTAGGTGCAAAACAAAAGTTTATGGTGATCATATCTAATGTATAAGGAGAGTGCTTGAATGTTTATTGGCGTGTAAGACGCAGTGGTAGGTGAGAGAGTGATCACTTTTGTGTTGGGAATTGTGGGAAAAACCTGCTGGCATTGATATTAGAGGAGACTACCAGGGACTTGTACTGAACTAAATTAAAAATTTAGTCTGCAAATTAATTCAACTAAAATCTCTAGCTAGGGTTGTAAATCCTAGCTCCTCTTTTCCTAATGACAGATTGTGGGCTGTAAGAGACAAGTGGGTTGAATGAATTAGTTGATAGAAGTTCCAGTCCACCTGTAGACAGGGATTCTCACAACAGCTTGTATTTTATACAAGGATAAGATTTAATAAATTCAGTTATATGACTGAACACTGGCTCTGTTTAAATCTGAGATTCAAACATGTACATAGTCTAGCCTAGCATCATAACTATTAACAGCCAATATATTCTTATACTATAAACAACAATTTAAATTGTAAAAGTATAATAAATGACTTCAAATGTAGTCTAAGTACTGTTAACTAAGTACTAGAAATTATATTCAATTAAATGAACTTATATGATAACTTAAAAAATAACTAAGCAAGCAATTGTTAACTTAATTTATATATTCAAGTATATATGCAATGTATTTATATTTAATTTATGATTAGGTACAGTCAGCTTGACTGAATCTCTTCCAACACCATGGACACTTATGAGGTCTTGTTTACTTATTGCGGCTGAATCTTTTTTTGACACAATGGACACTCATCAGGTCTAGTGCTTGAATAAGTTTCACTGCTGCTCTACTATATTAATAAACATACTGAGATATGAGGCGTTGCCTCGCTTTATAACCGACAGACAGACTTATAGAATATTAAAGTTATACAAGCATACAATTGGCCAATTAATATGCTACTGTAATCACCTTCAATAGACTTATCTGAAGCCGGGTGCCTGTCTGACAAGTGTGCCAGACTGATTAACTCTCTTGTCGCGAGTATAGGCACGATATTTTATATAACAGCTTTGCTGTAGATTGTTGTTGTAGCGTTGCTACGTGGATTTTTCTTTAACTCCGTTGCAGAAGAATGAAAGTGGTGAAGGTGGAGACAAAAGTCACTGTGTGCTCCACTCTACACTTATAGATATAAATGTTCTAGGGATTTTCCTCGTAGATACATTGTCCAGGTACTCCCCCAGTTCTAGAGAGTATTCTCTGGTGATAAAAATAATTAGATAAGGTCTCCTAAGCCAAATAATGTTCGCTAAGGATCCGTCACACTTGTTCACTGTGTTGTAAACAAACGCGTAGTCCCGCGTAGTGCCGCAAGGTATAGTCGTGGGGGCTTCTTGCTCCCGAGATGCTCCTCCCTCTCCCTTGAGAGGTAGCTTTCAATGAATATTGATTGATTATTTTTACTGTCTAGACATATGATTGAGATAAGATGTGATTATAATATAACTAGATATAGGATTTAAAGATTATAAGTAGTACTTGATAGTACCACTGATTCTTATTAAGGATTCGATTTTTAATCTCTACCGGAAGCGATTAATGTTCCAATAGTTTTTTAATTAACAAATCCTTCTAGAAGCTTTTGGATCCTTGAGAGATCATGCACAAAGTCACGTAGGCATCTATCGGGCCCTATTGCGTACGAGATCATAGTGACATTGTCATCCAGGATCAAGCTGTATAATGAATCTATAATGATTCTAATATGATTTTGTTACGATTTGATATGATTTTGATATGATATAGTTATAATATAGATATGATATAGAAATTATACATTTCTTAGATGATAATTGAATATGGTGGGTAAAAATTTCCCACATGAATATTTACGCAGATGTTTCCAGTGTCTCAGCCACAGGCTGAGCTTTATATACTCTGGAGACTGATTGTGTAATATTGATGTTTCTGGTGTTACAGCCATAGGCTGAGTTTTATATATATATATTTTAGGACTGATTGTAAAATATTATTACAATGAGATTTAACCCCACTTGGTGAGGGAGTAGTAAGTGGTAAGTCTAGAGTTGAGCAGCTACTTGAGACGGTTGGTGAAGCCAGGATATGGTATTGGATTGCTACCAGGTTGTAGTAGCTTAGAGTGTTGTATGCTAATGTTCTATTGTTCTTATTTCATGCACTGTGTATGTTCTTTTCATTATTAAATGTGTATTGTCAACTGGTTTTTGCTCTTGTCCTCGTGAGGCTTCCCAGAAAGCAGAAGAGAGAGAGAGAGAGAAAAAAAAAATTATCACAGCTGCAGACAGGGTGACAGAAAATACCAATTTACAAAAAAGGGACTGAGGAGATCATTCTGAACAAGGAGAGAGTGGAGAGTCATGGTGGCTCAAGTAGGGTGTGTGCACAGGACAACAAGGCCAGTGTTGGAGCCGCACCCCTTAGATATGTTGCACTGAATCCCCTCTCCAAGATCAAGAGGCATACAGGGTGAGAATCTTGATGAAACTTTAAGCACTCCAGAGTTCATTGTTGGTCGACCGGCGGTAGTGGGAGTGTGTCTGCCGAGGTCAGTTGTCTGTTCGGACAGATTGTGGTTAAGGGGACGTTGTCCACCTGTACGCAAGTAACAGTCTCGTGCAGCAACCAAAGCTCTCTTTTGAGGTTTAAGCTCCATTGTCCCCTACCCCCTCAGGTCAGGACTCATGCCACCTGGCCCTTTATGCCCCACCTCCTGGCCCTATATGCCCCGACCCTTGGCTCTTTATGCCCAGCCTCCTGGCCCTTTATGTCTCACCTCCAGGCCCTTTATTCCCCTCGTACAGGACTTTTATGTCCAGCCTTAGGAACCTTATGCTCCACCTCCTGGCCCTTTATGTCCCACCTCCTGGCCCCTTAATGCCCCGCTTACAGGACCTTCATGTCCTGCCTCCAAGACCCTTATGCCTAGCCTCCTGGTCCACCCTACTTTTTCACCACATGTATGGATAACACTCAACTTGTCCACCACCCATATCGATAACACCCCACTTGTTCACCACCCATATAGATAACACTCAACTTGTCCACCACCCATATAGATAACACTCAACTTGTCCACCACCCATATAGATAACACTCAACCTGTTCACCACCCATATAGATAACACTCAACTTGTCCACCACCCATATAGATAACACTCAACTTGTCCACCACCCATATAGATAACACTCAACTTGTCCACCACCCATATAGATAACACCCAACTTGTCCACCACCCATATAGATAACACTCCACTTGTCCACCGCCCATACAGATAACACCCCACTTGTCCACCACCCATATAGATAACACCCCACTTGTCTACCACCCATATAGATAACACCCAACATGTCCACCACCCATATAGATAACACCCCACTTGTCCACCACCCATATAGATAACACCCAACATGTCCACCACCCATATAGATAACACCCCACTTGTCCACCACCCATATAGATAACACCCCACTTGTCCACCACCCATATAGATAACACCCCACTTGTCCACCACCCATATAGATAACACCCCACTTGTCCACCACCCATATAGATAACACCCCACTTGTCCACCACCCATATAGATAACACCCCACTTGTCCACCACCCATATAGATAACACTCAACTTGTCCACCACCCATATAGATAACACCCCACTTGTCCACCACCCATATAGATAACACCCAACATGTCCACTACCCATATAGATAACACCCCACTTGTCCACCACCCATATAGATAACACCCCACTTGTCCACCACCCATATAGATAACACCCAACATGTACACCACCCATATAGATAACACCCCACTTGTCCACCACCCATATAGATAACACCCAACATGTCCACCACCCATATAGATAACACCCCACTTGTCCACCACCCATATAGATAACACCCAACTTGTCCACCACCCATATAGATAACACCCCACTTGTCCACCACCCATATAGATAACACCCAACATGTCCACCACCCATATAGATAACACCCCACTTGTCTACCACCCATATAGATAACACCCAACATGTCCACCACCCATATAGATAACACCCCACTTGTCCACCACCCATATAGATAACACCCCACTTGTCCACCACCCATATAGATAACACTCAACATGTCCACCACCCATATAGATAACACCCCACTTGTCCACCACCCATATAGATAACACTCAACTTGTCCACCACCCATATAGATAACACCCCACTTGTCCACCACCCATATAGATAACACCCAACATGTCCACCACCCATATAGATAACACCCAACATGTCCACCACCCATATAGATAACACCCCACTTGTCCACCACCCATATAGATAACACCCAACATGTCCACCACCCATATAGATAACACCCCACTTGTCCACCACCCATATAGATAACACCCCACTTGTCCACCACCCATATAGATAACACTCAACTTGTCCACCACCCATATAGATAACACCCCACTTGTCCACCACCCATATATAGTGTCAGCTGGCTGGCAATTAGAAACGACTGTCATCCTGGCTGAGAAGGTTTGCATCATGACTATAGAGGTTCCAAGCCTCTGGTCATCACTAGTAATTCATGACATTTATTAATCTTATTTATTTAAAGCAATTCTTATAATTGTTTAACTAGATCTTTACCTTATTACGATCCGCAGCTGTGAAGTGTAACAACGACCCCGGGTTGTTGGAGGCCTTGGTGGCGCTGGGTGCTGGCTTCGACTGTGCCTCCAAGGTTAGTGTTGTGTCTGGTGGTCCTGCTCCACCCAGTTACTGTCCCTGACTGTCAACCAGACGTGTGGTCCTGCTCCACCCAGTTACTGTCCCTGACTGTCAGCCAGACGTGTGGTCCTGCTCCACCCAGTTACTGTCCCTGACTGTCAACCAGACGTGTGGTCCTGCTCCACCCAGTTACTGTCCCTGACTGTCAACCAGACGTGTGGTCCTGCTCCACCCAGTTACTGTCCCTGACTGTCAACCAGACGTGTGGTCCTGCTCCACCCAGTTACTGTCCCTGACTGTCAACCAGACGTGTGGTCCTGCTCCACCCAGTTACTGTCCCTGACTGTCAACCAGACGTGTGGTCCTGCTCCACCCAGTTACTGTCGCTGACTGTCTACCAGACGTGTGGTCCTGCTCCACCCAGTTACTGTCCCTGACTGTCAGCCAGACGTGTGGTCCTGCTCCACCCAGTTACTGTCCCTGACTGTCAACCAGACGTGTGGTCCTGCTCCACCCAGTTACTGTCCCTGACTGTCAACCAGACGTGTGGTCCTGCTCCACCCAGTTACTGTCGCTGACTGTCTACCAGACGTGTGGTCCTGCTCCACCCAGTTACTGTCCCTGACTGTCAACCAGACGTGTGGTCCTGCTCCACCCAGTTACTGTCCCTGACTGTCAGCCAGACGTGTGGTCCTGCTCCACCCAGTTACTGTCCCTGACTGTCAACCAGACGTGTGGTCCTGCTCCACCCAGTTACTGTCCCTGACTGTCAACCAGACGTGTGGTCCTGCTCCACCCAGTTACTGTCCCTGACTGTCTACCAGACGTGTGGTCCTGCTCCACCCAGTTACTGTCCCTGACTGTCAACCAGACGTGTGGTCCTGCTCCACCCAGTTACTGTCCCTGACTGTCAACCAGACGTGTGGTCCTGCTCCACCCAGTTACTGTCCCTGACTGTCAGCCAGACGTGTGGTCCTGCTCCACCCAGTTACTGTCCCTGACTGTCAGCCAGACGTGTGGTCCTGCTCCACCCAGTTACTGTCCCTGACTGTCAACCAGACGTGTGGTCCTGCTCCACCCAGGTACTGTCCCTGACTGTACGCCAGACGTGTGGTCCTGCTCCACCCAGTTACTATCCCTGACTGTCAGCCAGACGTGTGGTCCTGCTCCACCCAGTTACTGTCCCTGACTGTCTACCAGACGTGTGGTCCTGCTCCACCCAGTTACTGTCCCTGACTGTCAACCAGAAGTGGACTTAAAAAGGTCAAGAACCTCAGTTCCGTGACCTCTCTCACACATTAGGACGACGATGAGCCACAATAACGTGGCTGAAGGTATGATGACCAAGCCACACATCAGACGGTGGAGAGATGACGACGTTTCGGTCCGTCCAGGACCATTATCAAGTCGTGTGAGACTCAAACGTCGTCGTGTCTCCATCTTCTCATGTGCAGTTTGGTCAACACATAAGGAAGGGTTGACGATTGTTTTGACTTCAGTTGGTCATTCATAACAAACTTGCCTCATGTCCGTACCTGACATATGGTAATTTTTTACAAATATCTAAATCAAAGATGACTGCGGAGCCATTTTGGACATGTTTATCTCGAGCCAGAACTCCTAGAATCATGTAAAAAGACACTATTTCGGGTAAGTCTATCACGAGGATTTTGAATCTGACAATACTTTAAGGTTACGACATTATTTTGACCCAGAAATCCAAGATAGCAGCCAATCTGTAGACCAAAAAAGTATCTTGTGTACTTAAAGCAACAACCTCCTTAAGGATCACGAGAACATAAGAACAAAGGTAACTGCAGAAGGCCTACTGGGTTATACGAGGCAACTCCAATTTATAATGATCCAGTTCCTATTTATAACCACCCAAATATGATTAACATACGCTTGAAACAATCAAGGGATCCTACTTCTTTTATGTTACGCGATAATTGGTTCCATAAATCGACAACCCTATTACCCAACCAGTATTTACCCAAGTCTTTCCTAAATCTAAACCTATCCAATATATACCCATTGTTTCGTGTTGTCTTGTGTTGATACTTTTAATACCCTATTAATGTCCCCTTTGTTATGTCCATACATCCTCTTGTACACTTGTATCATGTCACCCATAATTTTTTGCCTTTCTAGATAATGTAATTTAAGCTTTGTCAATCTTTCTTCATATGACAGGTTTCTAATTTGTGGGATCAAACTAGAAATCAAAAGCGGGATCTCTTGCAGTTTTAAACCGATAAATAGTAATTGATGAACTCATAACAAACTCCTTACACCTACAAAGAAGCTCTTTTTAATAGCTGATACTTAATCAGTTTTTAAACGAAATTACTTAAAACATGTAAGTATAAAATCATTTTATCCAGAAAATGGTACCTTTTTGGGCACTTTCAATAGACAAATTACAACACAATACAAACGAAAAACATTTAGAAATCACCAATTATTCTTTCGTATCATACTTCACATTGTTATGAGAACAATGTTATTGTTATTGTTATTGTGACTGCTGAATCGGTATACCTTGAGAGAGATGATCGCTCCGGATCACAGCATTCTGCCTCACTAGGTACTAATTATTACAACAAATCCACAAGGGCCGTGATGAGGGTTCGAACGTATGCCCAGGATGATCCCAGACGTCCCATAGTCGACTAGGCCCCGACATGGTAAAAAAAATTGCAACCGGGAGTGCAACTACCCTCACATGGATTTGTTCATTTGATGTGTCACGCTATTGTGATATTTGTGTGTACTGATGTAATGGCGAAGAGGTACAACATTTGGTTGACCGATCCCGGGTGCATTGGGGGAATTATGGAAACCCCAGTTTATGTCTCGGAGAGGTTGCGGAACATGTGTGAGGGCAGTAGCACTTCTGGTTGCAATTCTTCTTACCATGTCGTAACATAGTCGACTAAGGCGCATCTGGGATCATCCCGGGCGTAAATTCGAACCCTCATCACGGTCCTTGTGGATTTGTTAATTTGATGTATCAGGCTATTGTGATTTCCGTGTGTCTAATCATTAGATTCTGATGAATTTCTCCACCTCCTCCTCTGTTCATCTCCCTCCTGGTCACCCTCCATGCTGTCATTCCTGGCGCACTTCAGCTGGTGCAGGTAGAGGGTCATGTGTGGGGCAGGCAGGGCGACAGCAACCTCCTCTACCACTCCTGTCAAAGTGTTATTCCTAAAGTCGTCATGTTAATGATGATGATGCCTGAATCTCCTTCAGCGATCTCGCCAGTACATTTCGAGCACGTCTCGAGGTCATGCATGACCCAGAGGTCACAGAGAAGCACCTTCTGGTGCTGACCCCATGCCCAGCTTGTAGTAAGAGTCAACAAGCGCCATGTTGCGAGTCATCCAGTGACGGTGGCAGCAATGGTGGGTCGCTTGGTGATGTGCTGTGGGAGGCGAGTGTGTGTGCTCGGACACACATCTGCCTCTGTCTTCCCCTGAAGCACGTGAGACGAGAGCTCTTCCTGAGAAGCATAGTACTGAGAAGACAGCTACCAAGACAATGTCCACCAGTAGGTGAGCTTTGTAGTGAAGCCACCGATGCCTTTTCGGGGAGTACGGGGACGTCTACACAACGGTCGATTTGGATAATGGTCCCAACGGAGAGTGTGTCTATAAACCATGTAAGTTGATCTCATGGAATACCAAGCAACTGGAACAGGCTAAGACAAGACAGAAAATGAGAGGTTCAGAAATGCCAATCTCAGTCTTCCTTCATGTTTGAGGCTTTCGTGTCTCTCCACCTGCCAAGCCGTCATGCTCTGAACCGCGGTCGGCCAAGCGCCCTGAGTCACATCTGTCTCTGATATTGGACCCTCATGGGTGGCAACTTTTGCGAGCCACGCGACGACCCTCGAAGGTCAGAAAATACGAGACAGAACCAGCATCGTGAAGGATTATGCAGCTGATGACCTCTGTGATTGTGATCACAACAACTTGTGGTTGGTCTGTGTGCGAAGTTACCGGAAAATAAGTGAAGGTAACAAGTTCCAACAAATGTACATTGTAACTCTCCAGTCAGGATCTGGAGCACTCTACCACTTGAGTCAGCAGTCAGGATCTGGAGCACTCTACCACTTGGGTCAGCAGTGAGGATCTGGAGCACTCTACCACTTGGGTCAGCAGTGAGGATCTGGTGCACTCTACCACTTGGGTCAGCAGTGAGGATCTGGTGCACTCTACCACTTGGGTCAGCAGTGAGGATCTGGTGCACTCTACCACTTGGGTCAGCAGTCAGGATCTGGTGCACTCTACCACTTGGGTCAGCAGTGAGGATCTGGTGCACTCTACCACTTGGGTCAGCAGTGAGGATCTGGTGCACTCTACCACTTGGGTCAGCAGTGAGGATCTGGTGCACTCTACCACTTGGGTCAGCAGTGAGGATCTGGTGCACTCTACCACTTGGGTCAGCAGTGAACTCTACCACTTGGGTCATCTGGTGCACTCTACCACTTGGGTCAGCAGTGAGGATCTGGTGCACTCTACCACTTGGGTCAGCAGTGAGGATCTGGTGCACTCTACCACTTGGGTCAGCAGTGAGGATCTGGTGCACTCTACCACTTGGGTCAGCAGTGAGGATCTGGTGCACTCTACCACTTGGGTCAGCAGTGAGGATCTGGTGCACTCTACCACTTGGGTCAGCAGTGAGGATCTGGTGCACTCTACCACTTGGGTCAGCAGTGAGGATCTGGTGCACTCTACCACTTGGGTCAGCAGTGAGGATCTGGTGCACTCTACCACTTGGGTCAGCAGTGAGGATCTGGTGCACTCTACCACTTGGGTCAGCAGTGAGGATCTGGTGCACTCTACCACTTGGGTCAGCAGTGAGGATCTGGTGCACTCTACCACTTGGGTCAGCAGTGAGGATCTGGTGCACTCTACCACTTGGGTCAGCAGTGAGGATCTGGTGCACTCTACCACTTGGGTCAGCAGTGAGGATCTGGTGCACTCTACCACTTGGGTCAGCAGTGAG